AGTGCAGAAGAACAGTGGTCTCTTGCTAAGGGTGATTTGGATTTTAAACAAAAGATCAAGTATACATGAGCTGCTGGAAAGTATAAAATCTATGCTTCTCATTGCAAAAATGCCAAGAAAATATAGTCAATTGGATTAGGGATAATTGCAGAAACCTCTCCTGAGATTTCTGATATTTGCACTGACCTCCCCTCTAGGTTTAGAAATTGCATTCACCTCCCCTGAACAGTAACAATTCGTTGCAGAAACCTCCCTGACAGCTTTTGTAGAAGTGAGATAAGAAATTTCTTTCAATTTTGCCCTCTTCTTGCTTGACAATTATTATTTGCTTGACAATTGCTTAACTAATTATCTAATTAGTTAATAGTTAAACTAATTAACTATTAACTAATTATCTAATTAGTTAATAGTTAAACTAATTAACTATTAACTAATTATCTGATTAATTATTAACTAATTATCTAATTAATTTATTAACTAATTAACTAATTTCTATTTATTTAATTAACTAATTAATTAAAGCTGTTGTCTGTCCGAAACTAACAAACTATTTGCATGTTAAACTAATTAACTGCTTAACTAATGAACTAATTAGCTAACTAACTAATTAACAGACTATTTGCATGTTAAACTATATGCAGTTCGCATTACCTATTTAAAGTATCGGCTCTTTATGGGTATTTTACTTTCAAATATTTAATTTATGATAGAAACATCAATGTTTTTAAGTAAAATTCAAAAAGTATTACAAAAAAATCAATATTCTTGCTTTCAAACATTTAATTTATGACCCTATGCCCCGCCCTTTTTGTAAGAATATTTGTAACACTTTTTGAATATTCTTACAAAAAGGGAGGGGCATAGGGCCATAAATTAAATGTTTGAAAGTAAGAATATTGATATTTTTTGTAACACTTTTTGAATTTTACTTACAAACATTGATGTTTTTATCATAAATTAAATGTTTGAAAGTAAAATACCCATAAAGAGTCAATACTTTAAATAGGTAATGCGTACTGCATTTAGTTTAACATGCAAATAGTCTGTTAATTAGTTAGTTAATTAATTAGTTAATTAGTTTAACATGTAAAAAGTTTGTTAGTTTCGGACAGACAATAGCTTTAGTTAATTAGTTAATTAGATAAATAGAAATTAGTTAATTAGTTAATTAATTAATTAGATAATTAGTTAGTTAATTAGTTAATTAGTTAAACATGCAAATAGTTTGTTAGTTTCAAACAGACAACAGCTTTAGTTAATTAGTTAATTAGTTAAGCAGTTAATTAGTTTAACATGTAAATAGTTTGTTAGTTTCGGATAGACAACAACTTTAGTTAATTAGTTAATTAGATAAACAAAAATTAGTTAATTAATTAATTGGATAATTAGTTAGTTAATTAGTTAAGCAGTTAATTAGTTAATTAGTTTAACATGCAAATAATTTGTTAGTTTCGAATAGACAACAGCGTTAGTTAATTAGTTAATTAGATAATTAGTTAATTAGATAAATAGAAATTAGTTAATTAATTAATTAGATAATTAGTTAATAGTTAATTAGTTTAACTATGCAGAAATAGTTTGATTAGTTAATAATTATTAATAATTAGATAATTAGTTAATTAGATAATTAGATAATTAGTTATTAATTAATTATATTATTAGTTATTTAGTTAATTAGTTAATTAGTTAATTAGTTAAACTATGCAGAAATAGTTAATTTAGTGTAATTTTTATTAACAAACGTTTTGTTGGGTTTGATGAAAGTACTCATCACATTCATCTGGTAAAATTAAATCATGTCAGGAGTACTTTAGTAAATTGACCCACTTTTGCCTATTAAATTGCCTCCAACTTTTGATAGGGGAGGTCAATGCTATTTCAAAATTGATAGGGGAGGTCAATGCTATTACTATAAAAGTCAGGGGAGGTTTCTGTAATTATCCCATTGGATGATAGAGAAGTATTTTTTTGGTGCTTATGTAAAGAAAAAAAGTATATCTGGTGGTATTATTTTGAATATTCTTTAAGAAAGTTGAACACACGTGAAATGTTTATATGCTTAGCTTTTCGCATTACTTAGGATAAGCCATGCTCGTATGTTTTCACTATGATGATATATCCGATAACTTCTCTGCCTCAACCTCTGTGCAAAAAATGACTGTTTTGATTTATTCCCTTTTTTTAAAAAAAATAACATCAAGTTCTGTTGGTGTTTCTAAGCTTGCTTTGTTTCATGCAGTCAAGAAACAGATGCTCTCAATCGCTTTTTGGATCAAGGAAGCCATGCTATAAATTTTATTCTGTCGTCCATGGTATTTAATTTGATATCGACTATATTAGAGATATTGAATTCATCCCTTTTGTTTCTTTAGACCAGTAGGCTTTAAATTTTAGCTAAATCTATAAACAATTTATGCTTTGTTGCTTAGGGATAGACTTCTCACTTGTGTAAGCATTAGATTGTCTTCATTTCTCTGTTTCTAATTACTTCTTAAATATCTTTAACACATACCATTCAGATTTCCATGGTATCAGGTATTCTTGCCTACAAATCTAGAGCACTATTTGTATGGGTCACTTCCCCCTTTGTAGTAACATACGTTGCTTACACTTTGACCGTGATACAAGCATCCTCTTTTACACTTATTCTATCCAAATATCAAAATTTCTTGTCACAAAATAATATAGCATGTCTTCCATTATGAAAGCACCTATATTCTTTTGTTGTTTTGAATTCAAAAGAAATTTAATTTCAAAAAACAGTTTTGAATAAGTTTTAACTAATTTGGATATTTCACTATTTCAATAGGATAAAGGAATTTGTAATATCTATGGATGTAAGAAAGTGGCTTGAATAATGAATTATTAGTTTCTTTTCATTCATTATTTTTATTGATTGATTACACTTGTTGTTAGAGTAAGTTTTACTTGGTAATAAATTTGTATATTTCATCTTTAACCTTTTGGGTTCATTTCTTGAATTTCAATATTTATAGGTATAAACTTATTGGAAAGAGGATGAAAGGCATTGGCAGTATGAAGAGGGATGTAAAAGAAAAGGAGAAAGTAGTGTGAAGAAGTGCAAGTTGAAATACTGATACTGAAATTATGACCATTATGGTCATTCCCATAATGATCAAAATGTTAAGAAAAAGCTAGAGATCGAGTTTCAAGAAAAGACCCTTGGATTACTTGGCGCTAAGATAGGCATTGGTCGTTTTAAGTTTCCTATTCTTTGGGGAATTCACTATTATTTGACCATTTCAATATTCTTTTTTGGCACCTTTTACCATATAGAACTACCCGTTTGGATTAGCTGTTTTTGGGGGTGTTTTTAAAAAATTTTACAATAGCAGGATTTTTATAGTATATTTTGAAATATTTTTAGAAAATATTTTGCGATATTTAAGAGTAGAAGAATTTTTAGAATTTATTTTGAAATATTTTTTAAATATTAAAAAAATTAGATTACTTTTTGAAGTACATTTTAGAATACTTTTAGAGTATTTGAAAAACTCAGCAATCCATTTAATGTAACTTATCTTTACGCCTCACAACTAAAATGGATTGATGGGGTTTTCCTGATCTATGACTTTTGAGTTCAACATTTTGCTGACTTGCTAAATTTGTTAAGACATAAGAGAATTGTCTTCACTTTGCTTGAAATATGTTTCTGTTGTTATATGTGTAGGTTATTAGTCAAGATATGGAGACTAAAGGACCTCATTTATAAAATCTAACACTTCTTTAGGCTTTGTTGTTCTAGGCCCAATCAGATATCATTATACTTACTGTTATTTGATTGTGTGGCCTGAGTTCAAATTAAGTAAATTATTTGAGAGAATGTTTAATGATTTGTTTGGCTTGTTTTGCTTAGCAATGAGTCAAAGCCCGAAGAGTGAAAGAAGATCGGAGTTATTTCTCTGTCTGTCCTACGGACTTGCAGTGATTATTTATTAGCTTCATTTTTGGATACATATAATTGGAGACATTATGCGCCCTTTGCATTTTAAATAAGAGGTTTTGTTTGTAAAGACAGTGAACAATTTCTATTTCAATGCTTCATATTATGTATATTGGACCTATTATGTACTTCCTAATTTTGTCCAGCTAGGTGAGTTGTATTCTTGATGACACTGAATTGCAATTTTCACTCACCTCTTTAATTCAATAATTCTTTTTTACTAATTACATGCCTCCTAATTGTATGGCCCCAAATAATTCAACATCCATCATCACAACAATTTGTGTGTTAAATGGACCGGATTGGACAATTTGCATGCTTTCACTGTGCATTGCACAGTGTTCCCCTCCCAGTCCATAAGAAGGAGACGATGAAGCCCTCATTTATATATGAACAAGGGATTAATTAGGACAGGGTGGTTTTTGTCCAAAAACTCTCACTGGTAGAAAGTGGGACACTTTAGAGTTTAATAATTTGTAACGGTCAAGCATTGCTTTTAAGTGACAAAAGAAGGCAAATTGATTTTGAAACCCAACATTAGGGGCAAACTGATTTTGAGAGGGCTTTAAAGGAGTTTACTACCGCTTATGCTACATGACATAGCTAAACTCTACTGAGATAATACCTTCTGGTAAAACTCATGGTTCGTGTTCGTAGAGCGTCCTATGCATAAAGATTTTGTACCTAATGATCCGCGTCTCTTCCTGCCCACGAAATTCCTTGGACACTAACTCCAGCTGGAGGTACAGAGACAAGATCTGCATATCTAAAAGTTACTGTCACCTTACAGCCATCATAATCGTCAAGCAAACTTAAAAACATATCTAAGTGTGCCTTAGTTCAGTAGCAAACCCAACTGAGTCACACAATTACTCGTAGTTTTTCACTCCACCCTATCTTTTCAGGACGTACGAGGTTACAACCAATTCTATCCAAGTGTGGAATCTGTAGGTCACTATAAAGTTCAAAATTACCACCCAGACCACGCAAGGTAACTTTTCCAAAGATTCCAATCATCTACTCTAGTCAAACAAAATTTTCAACCTAAAACAGGGTTCAATTTATAAGCTACACACGATCATCCACTCCCAGGACTCTGTCCAACCAATCCCTAGCCCCATCAATGTCGGACAACTAAGAGGCTGATGAGGGATTACAAGAGGTTGCCGTTGGACCCACTTCCGCTATCAGCATTAAGGAGGTTTCACCTAGTAGCGAGTCTCGAGTTCCCAGATAGTAAGCTTCCATACCTTCTTTAATTACACAATTAACAATCTCATTTAATACAAATAAAACTCAGCAACCACATGGTAGACGACCATCCCAATAAACTCAAACGCAGACATAAAACAAAAAGACCAAATCATCAACAAAGTGTTTTGAGTCAACGACCACACCAACAAAAACCAAATCAGCAGCCAGCAACAAAGTGATTTCAGCAAAGATTCAAATCTCCAAACACAGTGGCATCCGCTCAATTCCCAAGTCAATCATGAAATCCCACCTCCTTCAAATGCATTTGCCATCACCCTCGCATGGTTCCTACACCAAAAAAAATTGGAACAAATAAAGCACTAGAAAACATTGAAAAATCCTTTCTAGTTGAATAACCACACCATAACAACATGTTCTGCTCAACCAAACAATCAGTAAATCAGCTATCATGGGCCAACCATCTGTTAATTTACACCATATCAGAATGAGAACCAGAATCAGAATATGATTCATTTACCATGTTGTGATCAGGCCGATTAAAACATGTCAATCTAATTGGTTTACAACTTAAAACCTTAAGACCAATTGAGACGGTCCTAACTCCAATCCTTAGGCAGCGTGCCCACATTATACCAAGTATTCGATTAGTTATTGCCCTGACAATTTAATTTAGCAGTATCAACTCCCTGACAGAGGCCAGTTATTAAACTTGAAAAACAACAAGGGCTCGTATCTTTTGCACATCTTATTTCTTTTTCCCCCACTTTTTACGAAGGAAACCCAAGTGCAGTTAATAGACAACATCAGAAACCAAAAAAGGGCCAAAAAAAGGTGAAATTAGCAATATGCAGAGGAAAAAAAACTACCAAAATCGTGTCGGTCTGCAATGGGTGGTGGTGGCGGCGGCAGCGGCTCCAGGCTGGTTGAAGGAAGAAATTAGGAGCATAGCGTTAATAACAAGAATTGGTTGCAACTAGCAGGTAGAAGTCTAGGTGGTATTGGTAGGTGGCAACGAAGGGTTAGTGAGTGATGGACTGGTGGGTATAAGAGTATCGAGAATGGAGACGAAAGAGAACGAGAAAACAGCGGATTAAGTTAAGGTGAAAGGTGGAAAGAGTGAAATTAGTGGAGTGGTGTAACTACAAACCCTATTACGGTAAAAAGACTTGTGTACCACGGTTTCCAATCATGAGAAAATCTCAGCTCAGCTCCTTTAAAATTCAAGCCCCATTTGGTGAGCTGAGGATGAGCTTATCCAAAAATTGAACTCAGCTACGGGATCTTTGCAGCCCTAAAAGTCAGTGAATCTTTCAAGCTTTTGTTGTTATATCCAATTATGACACTACCGCTTAATCTAAAGCTTTTTTCTTTTTTTTTTCTTTTTTTTTAACAGATTATGACACTACTGTTTAATCAAAACTATACATAATATTTTCATCAGTCCATATGAGACAAATCCTGTGTTTATAGGCCAACCATGCATCTTCAGTAATGAAACCAAATCTGAATTCAACAACTAAAAGATTCTGCTTAGGACTCCACACTCCACCCAGTACATGCTTAGGATTCCAAACTTACTTGCTGCAACCAAATGCCAGAAGCATTGTCAATATTGACAACTCCAAAATCCAGGGCAAGTTGCAGATTTATGTCACAATCTCTACTACGGTACAACTCATTTTTTGCCAATATATCTGGTGAAAACCAAAAAGTTTTCTTTTTACTATAAGAAACATAATTAACACCTAGGCCAACTACTTACTGTTTTCCATCCAGCAGGCAATGCACAGCCATTAGTGGCAACCAAGGCAAGAAAGTAACAAAATGGACAAACAACACATCCACACAACAGAAGCCGAAAAAGATCAATATAAAGCTACGATGGTACCTTAGGAATTTTAAGCCTGCAAAGGTTGACTCTCCTATCACCCCCAGCAGCAGATTCATACACACACGCTTGGAATTCCCGCACATCACCAGTATTGAAATCCTTGGCCACAAAGGTCAAATAAAGCTTGGCACCCCCAGCTGCATTGAGAACGCAATTCAAAATCTTGCCTGCTCTAAAGCCAGTTTGCTGCCAATTTAATAATTTTTTTTCAAAAAATCATAGTTAAAAAAACAGCGGAGGAAGAAGAAGAAGATTAACATAACCAAAACGAATAAACAGACAAAAAAAGGCTAAAAGCGTACATACATTTTTCTTGTTATAGTGAATAATAGCAGTATTCACCCTGTTCTTAACAGATCTGTAGAAAACGCCACCAGTCTTCAAGTCTTCAAGACAGTTAAAAAAACGGCCTCTTGTCTTCTCCAAATTAAATACCTGTGCAATTGTAAATGTGCAATTGTGTGTATGTATATAGGCATTTATAAGCTCTGGATTCAACAGATTGTATGGATATGTCATAAAGAAAAAAGGTACGAAATTGTATACCACATCATAATATTTCTCCAATTCTTCCTCATTTTTTATAGACCATTCATCCAAAAAAGGGTCGAACAGGAAAGCGTGGTGTTCGGACCAGTCGGACTCGGACTCGGACCCTGACCCCGACCCGTCGGGCTCGGATTCGGACCCGTCAGAATCGGCCTCGTCGGACTCGGCGCCGCGCACGTACTCGTAATCCTCTCCGGACTCGTAATTGGTGTCGAGGTCGTCAAACTGAAGTCCATCCCGGTTTAGGGATGACATTTCGCTGGAAGAGGATGACTTTCCTTGGTCGGCGTCCTTGTCCGCTACTTCTTCTCCGTCGATTCCTCGATCCTCCGCCGCTGGTTGATAAACTCCAAGTTCTTCGTCGCAGGAAAGAAACTTTCCCGAAGCCAACTGAAGAGCAAACAAACCCTAATTCTTTCGATTTGCTTTAAGAGCGATTTCGAGGGGCTGCGAATCCGCGACGTATATATAAACGAACTTCCTTGGTTCCTAATATTTTGTATTCTTTTAGGCCCCGACGTATAAGATGGTTTCTTTTTGGGCCCCGGGGTATAATCTAAAACTCTACAATTTGGTGCTACACCTATCTTGGGTTGCTTTTATGCTGTGTTTTCAAACTCGGACCGGACCGGCCGGCCCGATCGGGGTGAACCGGGAACCGGTCCGAGTTGATCATCAAAATCGGGAGATTCAAAATTCGGTCAACTCCGGTCAAAACCCGGGTTTGACCGGTACAGAACCGGAAAAATCGGTCCAACAGGAGCTTTTGTAAAAAAAGTTGAAATTTTTTAATATTATATTTTGGCCCCCTAAATTGTGAAAACTTATTAATATACCTCAAATATTTCATACTTTATAAATATTGTCCTAAAATTTGATGTTATTTTTCAATTAAATCCATAATTTTAATTCTAAACTTGTTAATGTTTATTAAATAATATAAATTGTTGCTTGATTGTTCTAATTTCTTTGTATTTTCTTGTTAAATATATTTGAAACATCAAATATATATGAATATACCTTTATTAATATCAATATGTTATTGGATATTTTATATACAATAATTTAATTTTTAAATAATTTTTATTTATGACGTCATCCGATTCGACCCCTATCAACCCCCGGTCGAAGCCATTGACCCCTGACCCTTGACCCCTGACCCCTGACCTCGGCCGAGTCGATATCCGGTCCGGTTCTGAAAACATAGCTTTTATGGCGCAAAGCTGAGTCATCTCTGCACAGTGGCTAGAAGTAATAGGAATAGGACAGAACAGCTAGATGGGCCGGATAATAGACAAAAATGAAAATTGTAACTGAAGGCAAGCTAGAACGGATAATGAACAAGACGCCCACAGTTTAATTTTAGAACTTCCCTAAAATAAAGCCCGTCTTCACGGAGGAATAAAGATGCCACTTTCCTTCTTTGAAAAAAAAAAAAAAAAGATGCCAATTTCCTGTCTTCAGTTCTAACATCCGTGAGATCTTCTTGACCCAATGCTGCATTCCTAATTATTTTAAAGTGGCGTCTTTATCCTTTGGAAACTCGAAAACATTTTGTTTAGTATGTACAAAATTCATTAACTAAGTTTAATTTAATGTTAGATCTCATTTGTTCTACGTTATCATGAAGTGTGTGTGTGTCTTCTATCTATTTATCTAAAGAGTTTAAAATATATCCAATGCATTCTGATTTAATGCTTTTTAAGTATTCAATAATTTATTGTCACGTAAAATTTTTCGAATATTCTATTATATTAACAATACACCTGCATTCACTAAGTATTATTTATTAGTTAATAGCAATGGATTTTTTTTGTTGAATCCCATAGAGTGTTTTATAACTAAAAATATAGATATAGGTTTACATTTTTTTTCTTTTTCCTATTCTTTTTTTCTAAATTTTCTTTACTCTCTTAATTTCTTCTAGTATTTGTTAAATTTTTATTTTTAATTAAAAAATCAATTACATTGGTGAATAAATATTGATTCCCCATTAAAATAATAGTCAATCAAACAATGAGCTTACGATATTCATTAACTCATTCCAATTAGCCTTAATCAAATGATAAGTATCACTATGAATAGTTTTGAAACTCATTCCTTAAGGAACCAGATTACCTAATGCCTTCTAAGTACACGAAATAAATTGACTTATCCTAAACTTGATTGATGGTATATAAATTTTTCGTGAAGATTCATGAAATATGCGATGCCATTCTCAAACTGAGTTTTGTTTTTAACTTAATGTTTTGAGAGTATGCAAAATGAATCAACGACCAATTGTAAGTAAAGAAAAAGAAAAATCAATGAACGATTGGTACTTAATATTATATTAGTGCATAAGATACATTCTAGGTGTGTGAAATTAATCAAAATTGGTCTTTTGTAAAAATATTATTCATGAAAATTAATTTTTGTAAAGAATATTTATGATGTGGCGATTAGTTATTTGGTAATTAATTTCAATTGGCCAATTACTGACATAATTTTAGTTCATATTTTAAAACAGGAGGGTGTGCAATTAATTAATTGACACAACTATCCTTGAAAATATAGTTTTTAATCTGGGGAAAAATTAGATGCTCTTAATAATAAGGGTATAAATGAAAGTTTAGAAAATACTAAACATGTGTAAACACTAAATGATAATGCTCATAATCTTTAACTTTATATATTGTATAGATAGTATAAAAAGGTTTAATATTTTTTTATTGAAAGTAGTTGTACTAGTCTGAATGCATGTCATGTGTATTTTTTTTAAAGTTAAATTCAATTTTGGATTATTTTAAAAGTTTGTTTTTTAGATGTTCTGCTTTCTTTCTAATGTTTAACTCATTGAATTTTTTTAACACTTCGCTCAGTTGAACTCCCAGATTTGCAAGGTTAGTTGATGGCGTCATTACAGACCTATCGAACGATTTAGGATGTAGACTCATGTTTACACTATTTTTCGAAACTCGACTACGTGATCGTGTAATGATGCAGCTTCTTCGTTTAACTATGTTTACAATTGCCTGAAATTTTAAAAAATCCTTTTTATACTTCCCTCTTGATTAACTGTTGACAAAAAGAAAAAAAAAAGGATGCGAGTTAGTAAAAATTAAAGTAATTCGAATATATGTCCTATTGGGGGAGCCCTTTTTGTGCCAAGGGTTGGCCTAGAATGAGAATGCATCCTCTAGGGTAGCACTATACAATACCTGACGAACTTGATCAACTTATTGATATTCGAATGAAAAGTAATTTAAAAAATTTGACCAATTGTAGTGACAAGTCCATTTAAAACATGGTTCATTAATCTCATAAAAGTACTTGAAGCGTTTGTTAAACTAAAAGGCATCATAAGCAACTTCATAAAGAACATGGTTCATTAATCTCATGAAAGTACTTGGAGCGTTTGTTAAACTAAAAGGCATCATAAGCAACTCATAAAGAACATGGTTCATTAATCTCATGAAAGTACTTGGAGCGTTTGTTAAACTAAAAGGCACCATAAGCAACTCATAAAGACCATACTTTGTTTTGAAAGCAGTTTTTCATTCATCTCCTTCATTTATCCTTATTTGATGATAACCAGATTTTAAATCAATTTTAGTGAAAATGATTGCTCCATACAATTCTTCTAACATATCATCTAACTTAAGAATAGGATGACGATACTTAATAGTAATTTTATTAATTGCACAACAATCTGTACACATTCTCCAAGTCCCTTCTTTATTAGGCACTAAAATGACTAAAATTGCACAAGGACTAAGAGATTCACGAACCTGTTCCTTTTCAAGGATGGAATCTATTTTCCTTGGGATTTCCTTTATTTTCTCCGGATTTGCTCTATAGGTTGGTCGATTTGGTAGAGTTGCTCTAGGAACAAAGTCGATTTGATGTTCAATACCTCGAATTGGAGGTAATCCTTTCGATAGTTCCTCCCGAAACATATCCTTGAATTCCTGCAAAAGATGATAGATTGCACTAGGAAGAGAATCAGTTATGCCTAGTGTGTAAAAAGAAAAATAATCAGCTTCCCTGTACATAAGTATTATGAGAAGACTTTGTACATTCAAAACCCTATCTACCTCACGCATACTTGCATAAAAGTTCTTTTTTTTTTTCACTTTCAAACTCTCGGCCTTACTGAATCTTTTCCCACTCGAATTTTCTTTTTCACTCAACTCGGCCTCTACTTTTTTTTTCCCCTCATTCTCTCTCGCATTCGGTTTTTTGTTTGCCTCTCTCGACTGCATTTTCTCTCTCTCTTTTTTTAGATGTAATTGTTCTTCATAAACTTGTGTAGGTGTCAAGGGTGAAAGAGCGATTTTAAGGTTGTCCATAATGAACTTATACTTATTAGTGAGTCCAATATGATCAGCCTGTTTATCATACTCCTAGGGACGCCCCAACAAGACATAACTAGCATGCATAGGAATTACATCGCATAAAATTCGGTCCTTAGATGGACCAATAGAAAAAACAATTAAAACTTGTTTGGTCACCTTGACTCCCCCCTATCATTTAACCAAGACAAACTATAGGGTTTAGGATGGTAAGTCCATAGAATGTGCTTTTGCTCAACAAAATCGGTAGCTACGCAATTAGTACAATAGTCACTATCAATGATCATAAGATGACATATCTCATCTCCAATTTTGCATCTCGTATGAAAGATGTTGGTCTGTTGGAGATCATCTTCTTAAGCTTGTGTATAAGCACTCTCATAGTCACTATAGCTCGAGTTACGGGGTCCTTTTCTATTTCAACCATGTCATCATCCTTTTCTTCTTTTTCAAACGGTAGCATATCAGCGTACTTCTCATCTTCTTCGCTTTGTCACACTCCATCTTCATTCATGTACATGATGTTTCGGTTAGGGCATTGAGTCATGAGGTGGCCAATTCCCTTGCATTTGAAACCAGTGTTTTGAAAATCAGATCGGACCGGCCGGTTCGACCGGTCGAACCGCGAACCGGCCATGGCACCGGTCCGGTTCCATGCTTAGGTTGACTTTGCCAGAAAACCGGTCAAACCCGGTAAAAACCGTGAAACCCGTTGAACCGGATTGAACCGGTTTTCGAGTTTTCCCTTTTTTTTTATTTTTTTTTTGCAAAATGCTTCTATTAAGATTCAAACTCAAGACCTTTGCAATAGAAGACCAATATAATAACCATTGCACCATCACATCTTATTTGCTTTTTTTGATAATTTATTTATATAAAACAAACATCTATATTTCATTTTTTCATTTTTCTTACAAAATCTCATTCTCTCATGACTCTTTCTTTTTAATTTTCAACTCTCTCTTTCTCTCTCATCTTTTCTTTTGTCACTCCCTTTTTTAATCAAACCTCTTTAGTTTTAATTTATTGATGTTTTCTTCTATCTTTTAATTTTGTTTTTGTCCATTAAATTGAAAAAAGTTAAAAAAGAATTATTTTTCTTTAATCCAAATTATTTAATGCCACAACCACTCGCTTTTATCTCATTTTTTGTTTCTTATCAAGTTTGCATTTTTATTTTCAATTCTCTTGACTTCT